TCTCTCTCTCTCTCTCTCTTCCCTCTCTCTCTTTCTCCCCCTTTTTTCTGTCTCCTATTCGTGTATAAGCGCATACTGTATACGTGTATATATTTTATGTGTGTGTATGTATATATAGCATAGATCCATTATATAACATACATACTCGCATGTATAATTAGTATACTATCGCTCCCTGTATCTGCCCATTGTGTCCCTCTCTTTGTTGTGCTATTGACGCTTGTGTGAATGACGTCGTACTCCCACGATTAATCCTGCCTCTATAGAAAAGAATAAAGAGCTGTTTTGTTTTTCTCTCATTTACTGCTGAAGGTTAGCAGACGGCTCAGCCAGACCCTACGTGTGGGTGGTTAGCGGATGCTCTGGTATGGTTTACTCCTTCTTTTCTATCAAATATATATCGTCCTTATCTCCCCTTCTTCTTTTTTATGTTTGTTACTCTCTTGTAACACCTCTAATTTTCTGGCGCTCATATGACCTTAATATGCAGTTGCGAGTGCCGTAAAACCTCTACGAAAACATACGAAAACAAGACCCTACGTGTCTATACATTTTTTAAAAAATTATTATTCACCGTGTGCGTTTTTAAAAAAATGAAGTGATCAAAATATATTGAATAAAAAAAATTCGACCCTCATTTATCTCTATTGTTTCGTGTAGTTTGTGTTTAATGAAGTCTGACTTATTGTTCTATTTTGTATGTTGCAGAGTGACGTCAAAGGATGGGGGTGCTCGACGTGTGCTCAGACTTCGCACGCCACTGAGTGTTCTACGCCACGGACGAATCCGTCCAATCTACGTGCACGACAGCCTGTGTTCACTTCTGCGCTGATTGCGAAACAGGTCGACTTCTTAGCCTCATTTCTTTCCTTCGGGAGTTCTGCTCAGTGTAGGAAACATCTAGATTTGTGAAAGTAGTGCGTATGACAGCTTGTTGATTTCTGTGCGGATTGCGAAACGGGGCGACTTAGTTGTGACATTTCCTTCAGGGATTTTGTTCAGTGTAGGAATCGTCTCGAATTGTGAATACTGTCCCTGCTTGAACGCCTAGCCTAGAGGGTGTTGCTGTGTGTGTGTGTGTGTGTGTGTGTGTGTGTGTGTGTGTGTGTGTGTGTTGGTCTGCATCAATTAAACACCGCTGTAGCGCAAAGGTCGCTCTTAAACGTGCGTGCGTGTGTACGTGATTGTGTGAGTATGTGTGCGCGCGCGCGTATGTGAGGTAATTGCCTAAGTACGTTAATGATAGTGTGTTCCCTCCCGCCGCTCCCTCTGTTGCGTGAGCGAGCTATGTCCCGAGTTGTCCCCCTTGTCATGTAAGAGTTCAAGCTTAACTGAAGATTTTTCACCCTCCAGGAGCTAAGGAAGACGAGAAACGTTGGGGGGGGGGGGGGGGGGGGGGGGGTTTAAGTTTTGGTTTTGGTTTGTTGGGGTTTTTTGAGTGCTAATTGGCGATTTCGAGCCGTTGTAATTGTGCTAATCGCTACCAGTTAAGACTTTCGACAGTTACTGGTCAAGAGCGGGTACTAGCCGGCAAACGAGTCTTTCGTGGTCCTCTTCTTCTTTGACCGGATGTTAAGATCAGCCATCTTGAATGTTTTACTTTCGGTTTCAGGCAGACACAGGGAACTGTTGAGGGTTTTTTTTTTTAACACAAAACAAAACTGGATTACGCTGGAGTCTTGGAGATGCCTCATTTGACAGACATGACGTGCTACACTAAAGACTGCTCGAGAGAAACGTTTTAAAGATCAAATTGTGTAGTCTTGTGTGAATTCCTTAAGGACATGTTTCTGCTGACAAAACAAAAGCGTTTGGATTTGGAGTGTAGAACCGTTGTGTGAGTTGTTTCTCTGTTGGGATGAAATGAAATTGTGTTAATGAGTTGGGGGGTTTTTCCTGTCCAGAAAAGACTCGAACTGTAAAGGAAAAAAAAAAGATAGTGTAGCCTATTTTTAGACAGGAGCTGTGGTGTGGCGTGTGTTTCGTGTTTTTAATCTTTGGACACCACGTTACCACTCTGAACAAAACTTGGAGCTGGAAACTGTGTTGGGAGCGTTTGGATATCGCCGATACGCTTTGTGCGTCACCGATACGTTAGAGCAAGTGCCGGTACCCTACAACAGGGACCGAAACACGGCTGAACGTCACTGATATACGCACAGAACGTCACAGCGTATCCAGATAATGTGAAAGGTTGCCCGGGTGGATGTTTTAGTCCTCAACCTACCAGGAGCCTGCATACCAGGTTAGTAATAATAGATAGATAATAGATAGCATTTGTATAGCGCAAATCCCCGCTCATCAGCAAGCCCCATGCGCCTCACAATCTATACTATTACCCCATCAGACCTGGGAGTATTCTGAAACAACCTCAACTTCCTGGGAAGCATACAGTGCAACCACCCATTTACAGGCGCTAAAACATAATCTGCCCCAAATCTCCACGATGTCTTACCGGCCCCTCACCACATATTGTGCGTGCCCCAATATACATAATAATACATGGTCTGCTTTAAGGACGAGCGGGCTAACCCAGATCTGGGGGTTCCCAGAAATCATGTCCTGCACCAAAAGTGTTTGGTTTCATTGGTGTGTGTGTTTGGTTATAGACAAAACTCTCCTTGTCTTTTAAAGAAACTGAACAAGGGGCAAAGACTGTAACTTCGATTTTCTCAAAACAGCATTTTTCGGGATAGCCCCCTTGTGCTTATAATTGACCATATATAATTATACATGTATATAATATATTTCTTTTATCCCCCCCCACCCCCTCAGGCGGTGCCAATGACTGAAGTGTCTTTAGGCCATTCCCAAAGGAGGACATTTCTCGTTCTAGTGCACAGTAGAATTGTAAATGGGCTGATCTAACAATGTCACGCTCATAACTGTGCCTGATCTACAACAGGGAACTGCTGTTTTTCCTTTCGTAATCCTTACTATTGTAATTTTTCCTCTACTTCTTT